AAAGAAAAAGGGGAAACAGGAGGGGCCTGGTTCAGCATGTGTGTGGGTAGATGATCTGAGTCTCACCCAGGTTAGCACATGCTACTGTGGGCAAAATGGGCAAAATCAAGAAGAATATGGCTAGGTTAAAAAGCCTGGCCCAAGAAGTTATTTAAAAAGTACAGTAGCAAGCTTGCAAGTGTTTCTGCCTCCTTGGGGAGGGGCTGAGGGAGAGACGTGCTTGGGTGAGGGGGTGCTGGACGCCCCTGCCTCGGGTCACGTCTCTGGCTTCTGGCAGATGGCATTTGAGTCACACCCTCATCTCCGAGGCTCATCCATCTCCCTGCCTGGCATCCCCGGGGCAAAGCCGTGAGTAGCATGTGGGCTGTGTCATCTCCAGGGTATGTGAGGGGCATGGGTCCCTGTCTTCCTGGGAACACACTGGCATCTAGGGCACCTGTGCTGGGGTGGGGTGGGCTGAGTCGCCCACTCATGTCTGCGGCTTCCGCAGGGCCTACTCCTTCCATGTGTCTGCGGACGGCCAGATGCAGCCGGTGCCCTTCCCATCCGATGCCCTGGTGGGCACGGGTATCCCCCGCCACGCGCGGCAGCTGCACACGCTGACCCATGGCGAGGTGGTGTGCGCTGTTACCATCAGCGGCTCCACACAGCACGTGTACACGGGCGGCAAAGGCTGCGTGAAGGTGTGGGACGTGAGCCAGTCGGGCAGCAAGACACCTGTGGCTCAGCTAGACTGCCTGGTGAGGGGCCGGGCGGGGCCTGCAGAGCCAGGGAGGGACCTAAAGGACTGGGCGGGATCTGTAGGGCCAGGGCGAGGCCTGGATGGGGCTGGATGATGTTTGCAGGACTAGGCGGGGTCTGTGGGGAGGGACAGGATTGGGTCGGGCTCAGGGCGGGGCCTGAGGGGATGAGCGTGCTGTAGGGTCAGGGAGGGTTTTGGGGAGATCTGGGTGGCCCCAACCCTGCCCTGGCTTGCTTCTCACTGAGGCAGAACCGCGACAACTACATACGCTCCTGCAAGCTGCTGCCGGATGGACAGAGCCTGATCGTGGGCGGCGAAGCCAGCACCCTGTCCATCTGGGACCTGGCAGCACCCACACCGCGCATCAAGGCAGAGCTGACCTCATCCGCCCCAGCCTGCTATGCGCTGGCAGTCAGCCCCGACGCCAAGGTCTGCTTCTCCTGCTGCAGCGATGGCAACATCGTGGTCTGGGATCTGCAGAACCAGGCCATGGTTAGGTGTGTGGGGCGGCCCGGGGTGGGGTGGGGTGGGGGATGCACAGGTGGAAGTGGACGTCTGCCCTCTACCCACAGGCAATTCCAGGGCCACACAGACGGGGCCAGCTGCATAGACATATCGGACTACGGGACCCGGCTGTGGACTGGGGGCTTGGACAATACTGTGCGCTGCTGGGACCTGCGTGAGGGTCGCCAGCTTCAGCAGCATGACTTCAGTTCCCAGGTGCACCCGCAATCCGGGCCCTCAGGGTGCCTCTCTCTGGCCCGGGACAGAACAGGATGCAGGGCCTCTGAGCTGGCTGGGTGGGCAAAGTTTTTACCTAGCTAATGAGGACTTGAGTTCAAATCCCCATAATCCACATAAAAAGCCAGGTATAATGGTAACTGCCTTTAAGCCCTTGGCATGTGGAGACAAGGGGACCCCGGTGCTGGCTGGAGGACCATATTAGCTGAATAGGCGAGCTTCAGGTTCAGTGAGAGATCCTGCCCCAAACACAATGCCTGTTGGCACATGTCTTTAATCTAAGCACGGGGAGGCAGAGGCAGGTGGACCTCTGAGTTTGAGGTCTACAGAGTTTGTTCTACGATGGTCAGAGCTGCATAGTGAGACCCTATCTGAAAAATCCAAAATAATACCGCGGCAGAGATTCAGTTCAGAACCCCAGTTACTCAGAAGCAGGACTTGGATCCCTGGACCCTGAGCCACCGTTTTTTGTCTCCATAGGAGATGTGAGGCATTCCTAGGTCTCAGTGCTTTTCTGTCCTGCCCTAGATTTTCTCGCTGGGTCACTGTCCCAATCAGGACTGGCTGGCTGTCGGGATGGAGAGCAGTCATGTGGAGGTCCTGCATGTTCGAAAGCCTGAGAAGTACCAGCTGCGTCTGCACGAGAGCTGCGTGCTGTCACTCAAATTCGCTTCCTGTGGTACAGGCTGGGGAGATCCCAGGGACAGCCGAGGGATGGGGGGACACCCCAAAACAGCTAATTAGAACCATTTACCCTGGCCTGTCAACCTAAATGCTTATGGAGGTCAAGGCCAGTTTATGTAAATGCCCAGACACACAGAAGTCTCACAAAAAGAAAAGCACGTACCAGACCTGGTGAGGTGGCCACACCTTTAATCCAGCACTCGGGAGGCAGAGGCAGATAGATCTAGTCTACAGAGTTCCAGTGCATCTAGGGCTACACAGAGAAACCATGTCTTGGAAAACAAAAAAGCTACTGAAGTCACTCCATGTTGACCTCTGATCTCCACACACCAAAGATATTTTTTTTTTCTCTGACACAGGGTTTCTCTGTAGCTTTGGACTTGTCCTGGAACTTAACGCTGTAGACCAGGCTGGTCTCAAACTCACTAAGATCCACCTGCCTCTGCCTCCCTAGTGTTGGGATCAAAGGCATGAACCACCACTGCCCAGCTATAAAACAAGTTTTCCACCGGTGATGGTGGCACACACCTTTAATCCCAATACTTGGGAGGCAGAGGCAGGTAGATCTCTGAGTTCAAGACAAGTCTGGTCTACAAAGCTACACTGACTTGAACCCCCCCCCCCCAAAAAAAACAAAACAACCAAAACCAAATTTTCCTCATGCTACCTGCCAATACAAAAAAGACTCAGCCAATTTGTTTGTTTTTTTTTTTTTTTTTTTTTTTTGCTGTTTTTCAAGACATGGTTTCTCTGTATTGCTTTGGGGCCTGTCCTGGAACTAGCTTTGTAGACCAGGCTGGCCTCGAACTCAGAGATCCACTGTCTCTTCCTCCTGAGTGCTGGGATTAAAGGCATGTGCCACCAATGTTCCTGGAAGCCTGGGCTGCCTTCAACTCACAGAAATCCTCCTGCCTCAGACCCACCCCCAGCGTTTTCTCTGACAAAGGTAGCCAGTGATCTGGGGTTTGACTGGCAGCTCTCAGCCATTTTGACATTGCAGAATATCAGGCTGGAGGGAGTTTCAAAGTGTTCAGGTGCAGAGCTCCTGCCCTGGGAGGTCCTGGTCTGTCACTACCACTTTCCTCTCTGTCCCCTTCCCAGGACGATGGTTTGTGAGCACTGGCAAGGACAACTTGCTTAATGCCTGGAGGACACCGTATGGGGCCAGCATTTTTCAGGTACCCATCCTTCCCAGCTGGCAGCTGCCTTTGCATTTTCCGGACATTTCATTTTTGGAGCCCCATACACTTTGGGTTGCATACTGAGCATGATGGCCCTGGGGTCCATGCTGTGGCAAGTGTCAGAGCCATGCTCCAGCAGTTCATGACTGATATTCCTAGAAGTGAATGGACCTCGATGGGTATGCTGGGGTTTTTCATCCCCTCCTTCACAATGGTGACTCCCTCCGCAGTCCGCACCTGCATTTCCCTCTGGATTATTGCCATTACATTATTTCATTAGGTAGTCCCGCCTCAGCCACCCCATGGTGGGATGGCGTGTGTGTAATGCTGCAGGCTGTGTGTGATGTTTCAGATGGAACCAGGGCCTCACATGTGCTGTGTGAGCACTCTCCCTGGTCAGCTCTGGGCTTTGACAGCAGCTTCTAAGTCTCTTGGGCCTTTTTTTTGGACACAACATAGCTGTCTCCCAAATTTGCCATCTTCCCCACCATCCTCCAATCCTGAGTAGCACTGTTATATCTTCTGAGGTAGTGATGTGGATACCACTGACACCTTGGGACATAATGGCAAAGATCTGTAATCCCAGCACTTGGGTGGCACAGGAGCATGGCTAGTTTGAGGCTAGCCTGGTTTGTAGAGTGGGATTCAGAGGAGGGCAAAGCAGGGCAGCTGTAAATGTGTGCTTTGTAGCCTCAAGCCATCTGAAGGTGGGTACCATATCTGAGTCACCTGTTATGCTTGCCCCCAGCTAGAAGGCGCTGGCCACACCCACACCCATCAGCCTTTACTGTCCGCCAGAGCACCCCGATTCTGGCTTGTGAACTAATGTGGTGACAACCACATGGCTGCCCCTCACCTCTCCTTTTTGTGTCCCAGTCCAAAGAGTCTTCCTCTGTGTTGAGTTGCGACATCTCCAGGAATAATAAATACATCGTGACGGGCTCAGGGGACAAGAAGGCCACTGTGTACGAGGTGGTGTACTAAGCCCATCTGCCTGCATCATCAGATCTGCCTGAGGAGGGCCACTTGGACACTTCCCTCTGCTCACACCCTGGCTCCCTCCTTCCTGGTTGGGTGGGGCTGGAGGCACTGGGGAAATATAACTATTTATGGACTCACTTTCCTTTTGTGTGTGTGTCAAGTGTGCACAAGTTGGCGCCAGCTGGGTGTCAGCTGCTATTGGTTTTTACCTTGATTTTCAAAACAGTGTCTTGACCTCACTGGCATGGCCGATAGGAGGATCCCTGGGTCTTGATGGCATAGTGTAGGTGTCTCTCCACCTGCATTCAGCTGGGGTCACAGGTTGCCACAGTGGTTTTTTTTTTTTTTTCCCTCACATGGGATCAAGGGATTTGAACTCAGATCCCCAGGCTTGCCTGGCAAGCACTTTACCAACTGAATGATCTTCCTAGCTCTCTTAAAAACAAAACAGGGCAGGGTCTGGCCTCTCTATGTAGTCCTGGCTTCCCCAGAACTTGCTCTGTTGAGTAGGCTGGCCTTGAAATCATAGGGATCCTCCTGCCTCTGCCTCCCAAGTGCTGGGATTAAAGGTGATCAAGAAGTTGGAAGGCTCAGAGCCACAAAGTCCTTCCAGAACTTGGGTTAAAAAGGGATGGGGCAATATCCCTTCAGAAGACAGAACAGACAATCTCTGCCTTCTCAATTGCTTTATTACATGTGATGAAGGGTTGGTACACCCATGGGATTCTCACACCCACCCACGTCTACCACTGTGCAGTTGGGGGGAAGAAAAGATAGGAATGGAAGCTGTCAGTATTCGATCTGGTACACCGAGGCACAGTCCCCCGATCCTGTGACAATCAGCCTGTTATTGGCTGTCACATCACAGCATGTGACAGTGGCAGTTTCAGGGACCTGTGTGATAGCAGGCTGAGTGAGCCCATGGGGCCCACCTGAGTCAGCTCCTCCCCACCCAGAACTTAGAACTGGCCCCCATGGGGATACTGTTGAGGGTCCCACCCTGCCCAGGACTACCTGGAACAGTTTCACTCCTGTGGGCATGCTGTGGATGGTGACAAGGTTGTCCATTCCCACGCTCGCCCACCACTGGCCTGGGAGGAGGTGGAGGGACAGTTAGGTTACAGAAGACCCCACCCACTCACTCATCTCCCACCCACTCACTTATCTGGAAGCCAAGTACCTGTCATCTAGCATTCAGAAGGCTGAGACAGGAGGATTAAGGAGTTTGAGATGCTGAGACCCTTCCTCAAAAAAAAAAAAAAAAAAGGCAGAATAAAGTTTTCTAGATCTGCCTTTTGTTGTGTTTGATTTTGGTGTTTTATTTAACAAGAGTTCTTCCTAACCAAGGCTAGACAAATTCCACACGTAGCCAAAGATGACCCTGAATTTCTGATCTCTATGGGTTGTTTATATCAATAGAAGATGTTGGAGCACAGTGGTGGCACACACCTTTATAATCCCAGCAACTTGGGAGGCAGAGGCAGGAGGATCTTGGTGAGTTTTAGGCCAGCCTGGTCTACAGAGTGTTCCAGGACAGCTGGGGTACATAGAAATCCCATCTTGAGAAACCAAAATAAAAGGTGTTGGGGTGTCAAAGCACTGAGTAAGCATTGATTAGACAGCGGAACCATCTGGAAAGTCGGTGACTGCGGTGCGAGCTTGTTATTAGTCTGCTTACCATTTGGGGAGAACTTGAGGCCTAAGATGGTCTTGTCCTTGGAGCCCACAGTGAGCGCCTCGCTCTTCTTCTTGCTGTCATACAGACAGTGCTGGCCATTGGCCAGGCCCAGCAACAGCCAGTCTTCCCGCTGACTGTGCGTCAAGCTCATGATCTGGGATGAACAGGGCAGAGGTAGAGATCAGACCCCCACCCAGCAGGTGGCAAGGGTCCCAGAACTTGTCACCTTGGTTGTTTCCCGTCATGGTCCCCATGCCGCCCTCTGCTAATCTGAAATGGACAGAGGGCCATAAACTTTACAACATTAAGATAAGACAGTGAAGAATCTGTTTCCCTTTTTGGTTTTATTGAGACAAGGTCTCAACTCTACAGCCTGAGCTATTGTAATGACTCATATCACATAGCCCATACTGGCTTTGAACTCCAGCATAAAACATTTGCAATGATAGTCTTTGAGACAAGGTCTCATGTAGCCCAGGCTATCCTTTAGGCCCCAGTGTAGCTGCTGATGACCTTGAACTTCAGATCCTCCTAGCTCTATCTCCCCAGTCCCTGGGATATCAGGTGTAGTGGGGCACAATGCTGGAGATATGACCCTGCACCTAAGAAAGCATTCTAACCACTGAGCCCTGCGTGGGCCCACTTCCCCTTTTTTTTTGTGACAAGGCCTCACTATGTAGCCCAGAATAGGTTCACGATTTCATCCTCCTGTCTTAGCTTAGTGCTGGGATGACAGTCTTTGACACCATGTCCACTTATGAAAAAGTTTGCTTTCTGAGACAGGGTTTCTCTGTGTAGCCCTGGAACTCGCTCTGTAAACCAGGCTGAACTTGAACTCAGATCTGCCTGCTTCTGCCTCCCAACTGCTGGTATTAAAGCACCATCACCTGGCTGGCTGACAAAAGGTATTTTAAGGACCCCTGTGTCTTGTCAAAAGTCAACGGAGCTGACCTGGGATATTCCCTCCCCCCAACACTGAGTCCACTTTGTCCTCTAAACTGAAGGTCCACGCCCATCCAGCCCCAGCCAGGTCTGTGTACCTGGGACTGGAATGTGTACTCCAGAGAAAGCTTGGCAGCCCGCAGGTCCCAGCATCGCAGACAAGCATCCAGACCTCCTGTCCAGACGTTGTCATCTTTGACCACGAGGCTCTTGGCTGCACTGACAGGGCCTTCAAAGTCCCTAGCCGGAGGAACAGCAAAGGGGTTAAGCCTAGTCTTGGGGTCCACATCCCTGAGATCCCCCAGTTCTGCTACCAACCCAACCTGCAAGAAGGGAACAGTGACATCATACCAAAGTCCCTGCACCTAAAAGGTGCCATGAGTGTGCCAGCACTCACTGAGGAGGCTGAGGCAGGGCGATGACCACGAAATCTTAGGCCAGCCTGGGTATATAGTGAGAATCTGTCTCAAAAAGGAGACGGGAGAACCAAAGATGGCCATGGTGACTTAAAACCGCCACCCCAGTTACCCAGGAGGCTGATGTAGGAGGATTGCAAGTTAGAGCTATCCTGGGCCTAGGAGCTTTTCAAGCTTCACATGTTCTAATCTCAGGGTAAAAACTGAAAAGAGCTTAGCAGTTTGTACCTGACATCCCAGCACTTGGGAGACAGAGGATAGACTGATCTACACAGTGAGACATAGTCAGATAAAATGAATAAAAGTGAAGGTGTTGACCAGATGGCTCCCTAGTGACTCAGTGGGAAAAGGTGACCTGAGTTCCATTTCCAGGAACCTACTGACACAAGGAGAACAGGTTTCTGCAGGTTGTCCTTCCTGAGCCCCTGTTATGCCCCATCCAAGTAAGTGAGGCACACACAGCACTTGGAAGGTGGAGGCAGGAAGATCAGGAGTTCAAGGCTATCCTCTGCTCTATGGCAGCCTGTGCTACATGAGATACTTATCCTAAACAAAAGGTAAAAAGAGGACTAGGGTGTGGTCAGGGTGGAGCCCTGCCTAGAACCCCCCAGTGAGGGGCTGGGGGTGTGGCTCCACTCTGGTGAAGGGGCATTGGGCCAGGAAGATGCTCAGGAGACATGGTCTTCAGATCTCAGATCACTGCTCCTGTCCCTGTATCGCACCTGACCACTCCCTGACTCCGTAGGTCCCAAATCCTGACTCTGCCATCTGTGAAGCCAGCAAAGGCCATGTTCTCCTCCGTGCTGGCCAGCGCCTGGCAGGAAAGGCCCTTGCAGGGCAGCTGGTACTTCTCATACAAGGACGGGGCCGTCAGGTCCCACACACTCACGCCGGGCAGGTTGTGCCCTCCCGCATACAAGATCTTACTGTTGGAAGACAGTAGGCAGGTGCGCAGGTATGCCCCATTGGCCTGCAGAGGATGGTGTCCATGAGTGAGGGTCCATCAGCGCAGGTGGTTTCCAGACCCCACCCCAGACACCTTCCCTGCCTGTCACCTGGACGCCACATTGCAAGTGGCTTTCGGGGAATTCATCCTCGGTCGCATGGTTTGCCAGGCTCCACACCTTGATGCCACTCCGGCTACAGGTAAAGACGTGCCTTGTGAAGCAGCTCACCGCCATCGCCAACAGGAGCTCCTGATGTTTCAGCACTCGAACCTTCTGCAGGCCTTGAGGGACAGAGCGCCTCTTGGATTGCCAGAGTGATGTGCCAGGTCTCTTCCAGCTGTGTTCCAACTCTTCATCATCCCAGGATCTGAGGACAGGGGCTCAGGGTGTGAGGTGACAGGGAGCACAGGGTGTGAGCTTTTTAAGACAGGGTCTTGCTTAGTCCAGGTTAGCCTTGAACTCCCTATGTAGCCAGGGCTGGCTTTGAACTCGTGATCCTCCTGCTTCCACCTTTTGAGTCAAGGAAACGCACTCTTCAACTTTTGCTATAGCCACATATACTTTCCCCACTTTATCTAAAATGCTTTGCCCAATTAGACTAAATTCCTATGCACCTTCTTATGACCCTAATTATTATACTCCCTTTTCAAAGTCGACTCCCTCCAACTGCAGGATTAGGAGAACTTGTGTTGAGATTTAAGGGAGAAATTCTGTCTCCAACCCTTTAAAAATTATTACCTTTTACTTATTGAATTGGTGTGTGTGTGGAGGGGGGGTCGGGTGGGGGCAACATCAGGAGAACTTGTGGGAGTCAGGGATCAAAAACAGGCCCAGGCTTGTCAGCAAGCACCTTTACCCTGCAGAAGCCTCTTGTCAACCCCTCCCCTGCCCTTCCAGTAAGGACAGGGGTGGAAGATGGAGGGACAGGGCGGAGGGAAGCCTTCTCTCACTACTCACAGGGGCTTCAGGAATGGACCAGCACATCCAGAAGATCCCTGTGGGGCAAAGAAAGAGGGTAACCCCCAGGCTTGTGACCTCCAGTCCATGTCTGCATCTGGGTCCCTGCTCACCTGGGTCCCCTGTTGGGGCTGGCTGATGTCTTTTTGGGAACCACCAAGCAGATCTGAGGGACTCTCGGTTAGGATGGTGTCTGTGTGGAGACAGCAAGATTCAGGAACCCCTCTGTGGCCTGGCCCAAGCCCCGCTCCTCCGGGGCCCCACCTTCCTACCGAAATCTTTCAGGCTGTTCCTCTGCCTGGGTTCAGGCTCAAGTTCCAACTCAGATTCACTCAGGTCAGAGTCTTTCCTTTCCTGAGAGACAGAGTCTTTCCTTTCCTGAGAGACAGAACTGTATTGACAGGGAGACCCAGCAGACCCCTGAGGTTTCCTGGCTGGGGCCAGGATCCCCGAGAGGTCAGAGAGCAGGGATGAGGTAGGAGGTGATGGATGGGAACACTGTAGAAATGGGGGGGGGGCAGGGTCCCAGCCAAGTTACTCACCAATCCCAGCAGCTTCTCTGTCCCTGTGACAAGCAGGAGGAGATGGAGAGCAATGAGGTTTCCCCAGACACCCAAGGCGTTCCCCTCAACCTGAGAGTGAGGATCCTCACCCTCCTGTCCTTGTGGGTTCTCTGTGAAAAGTTTCCAGAGTTCCCAGGTCAGGGTGTCTCTCCAGAACTGCGGCTCCTTGTCCCACACAGGCTGTGGGTCCTGCTGCTCCTCGGCCTCTGAGAGGCACCGGGGTCTGGTGGGTGGCTGAGATCCCAGAGTGGCTTTGAGTTTGGGGTCCTGGGGGGCCATATCTGGGTCCTGCTTGGTTTCTTTCTCAGCTGAGACCTGGACAGCCAGGAAAGAGTTCGTGGGGCTAGTGAGTAACAGGACATTACCCACTGGTACCTGTCCCCTGTAGTTCCAGGGTGGGTATTCACCTTAACCATCTCCAGGATGGTGGGGGACCTGTTGAAGATTTCCATCAGCCGAAAGAAGTTTTCCACCTAGAACAAATTAGGATTGAACCTCACTGCAGGCATTGACTGTGGAATAGGGGGCATGTGGCAATGCTCAGCACTTGGCAACCTCTGTATAAAGGCAAGCTCTGCACCTGGGGAGAAACCACATTCTACACACCCAAGCACAGTGGTGTACACCTGTCCACCCTTCCCCACAAAGGTTGAGGCAGGAAGATCATCCTTAGCTACATACAGAGTTTGACATACTGTTTCAAAATAAAAAACTTAAACCAAAAAAGCAATTAACAGCACAAACAGAGCTCAGGTTGGAGCCCTTGATGTACAAAGGCCCAGGGGCCCCTCCTCAACACAGATTAAAGGCCTTAGTGTTATTTTGCACATAGGGAAACTGAGACACAGCCATGGGTTTTTTTTTTAATTTTCATATTATTTTTATCAGCCTTGCTCCTTCCCCTTTGAGCTTCTGCAGATACCCCCTTCCCCATGGACGGGGAGCCCCCTGGGATGGAGGGTGGGACCCAGGGAGCTGCCTCCTAGGAAGGAGATGATGGATTCCAGGGCAGTGCCAGCCTGCCTGGGCTGCATAAAGCCCAGGGGAGCCCTCCCGGTCCCCCCTGGCTCATTAATGTGCAATTTACTGGCACTTTAGTGCGCCTGGCGCTCAGTGTGAATGGAGGCAGAGCTGTAGCTCCTCCTGCTGCTCCCGGGGGAGAGGGGGGATGTGCTGCAGAGACCAGGGATTGAGGCTGGGGGGCGGTTAAATCAAGGGGAATGGGGAAGCCAGGAGCTGTTAGGAATAAGGAATGTGTTGGGACTGTAGGTCGCAGCAGATCCCCAGTCCCAGGGTGGGTGATGGACAGTGGGTGGACAGGAAACAGAGACCTGAAGGTAGATGCGACTCATATTTAAAGTTTTATTGACGGGGAGATAAGAAAATAAGGTAAAGAGACAGAAAGACAGAGAGAGGACAGAAGAGAAGAGGGAGACAGAAAACGTCCTGTCTGCCCCAGGAGAACAGCCAGAAAGAGAGCATGAGTGGGCAGGGGTCTTTCTGCGTGCAGACTGTAGCCATGGAACCCTGGGCTGACCAGGGTACTGCCTGAGTGCATTCTGCTAGGTGACAGGGGCAGGCCAGCATAATGCCTGAATCCTTACAGTAGCTGTGGGGAGCTGCCTGGGATATCACAAGCTGCTTGTAGTGGCTGGCCCCACGTACCTGTCAATCATTCCCTCAACGACTAGAGCCCTGCCCCCCACTCGCCCTTCACTGCACCTGAGGCCAGATTAGTCCCCTTGCTCTTCCAACTACAGCTTTTCAGAGCTCCTACTGCTCACCGGGTGGAGTCAAGGTCCAGAAATCTCTGTAGTTCCCCCCCCCCCCCCCGCCTCCCTCCTTCTTGTTCCCATACCAGCCTTTGCAGAGGGTTGTTCCTCCTCCTGCCTGGACACCCGTCCCTCTCCCAAACAAGAGCATCCCTTCTACTCCGGCTGACTTACTCAATGCATCTTCCTGACCACCCTGATCTATAGCCGATACCCTAAGACCCTGCCAGGAGCTCTTGGCATCCACCCACCATCCCTTCCGTCCCCAGTCCTAGCTCTTTCCCTGGCACCTTTGCTGGCCTGGCGAAAGGTGGCTGTTGAGGCTACTAAGCATCTTGAATGAAAAACCATGTTCTGGTGGCTTCCTGCCCACCCACCCCGATCCCATTCCTCACTGAGCTGCAGTCCGGGCCCTGGCTCCCAGCCAGTGACATCTGGCCCTGAGCAGGGCCGCCTTCCTGCCAGTGCCTTGAGAAGGGGCCAGGTGGCAGGAGAGAGGCGGATGAGGACACACGTGCCTTGGCAGGAGGTAGGGCTGGGGGAGGAGAGCCCAGCACCCCCCTGGAGGCCTGTCTCCCCCTCATGCATGGGACCTGTGTGAATCCCTTACTCAGGAGTTCCAGAGCACCTGGGACCTGGGCAGGGAGGACCGGCCACAGCTAGATGTGAGGACTCTATAAATCAACTCCCTCCTACCTCTGTCTCCAGCCCTCTGTGGCTCCCATCTCCCCAGAATTAAAGACCCCCATATTCCTATCTCCACCCTCCTCCCTGGGAGAGAAGAAGTCCCCAGTTCACCTGCTTGTGGTGTTCTTCAAAGGACTCATTGACCTTGGACACCTGAAATCACAGCAGATGAGGGGTGTGTGTGTGACCCTGAGTAAAACTATTTCCCTTCTCTGATCCTAACAGAGGTTTCTGGAGCCTAGCCTGGCCTTGAACTATAGCAGAGGCCCATCCTGCCTCCAACCTCCCCATTCTGGGATGACAGATGTGCATCTCTACTTTTAAATAAAGTACTTTTATTTAAAATACTTTTAAATAAAATACTACTTACTATATATTGTTTCCAATGGGAAATCAAGTCCAACTTTTTCTAGCAGCCATCAAGGCCCTGCCCGCCTCCCTGCTGCCCACACCCCCCCCCCCCAGTCCTGTCACAGCTATGCCTGGCAGCTGCCTGACACCAGGATGGCTTACCAGGTTGGAGATGTTGTCTAGCTGGGCCATCATCTCAGAGAGGATACTGAAGGGGGGAAAATAGTTGAGGATCCTTCTAGAACAAGTCCCTGCATGTACCCTTGGGCAGAACCCCCAAGGCTGAGTCACCTAATCTATACATGGAGGGAAATGCCGTGCAGAACTCCTAAGTGTAAGTCTGACACAGGGCTTTTGCACACATGCAAGGCAGGCGCATCACCACTGTATCTGCTTTGGTGCAGGCCTGGAACTCGGCACCCTCCCATCTTGGCCTGCACCACTACAAAAATCAACACCCTGGCTTAAAAACGAACCAAAAAGGACAACTCACTGGAAGCCAGCCTGCTCTTCTGGTTACCACTGCATGGCTGGTTCTCTGGGGGAGGGGGGGCAGACCCTGGGCAGGTATGGAGCCCCAGGGAAGCCTCACCTGTTGAGCTCCTCAGGCAGCTGTCCAATGATGGAGGAGTACCTCTTCGAGTAATTGCAAGGCTGGAACCGGCAGAGGTCAGAACCAAAAAGCTAGCAGCACCCCCAACTCCCAGACACCTCCCCAAGGTGCCCAGTCACTCTTGGGGTACAGGACCAGCCTACAGGGGGCATGGTAGAACCTTCTAGCTCTACACTGGGGCTCTCAATCTTCCTGATGGTTCGACCCTTTGATACAGCATTCCTCATGTTGTGGTGACCCCAATCATAAAATTTGTTGCCACTTTATAAGTAACTTTGCTACTGTTAATCACAAAGTAAATAGCTGATATGAGGACTATTGGATATATGACCCCAAGGGGGTAGTGAACCATAGTATACAGGCCAGTACACAGATGTGTCTTAGCATGTCCTTGACCCCTAGAAAAGGGAGGAGGGAATATCAACCGATTTTTTGTGTGTTTTTCGAGACAGGGTCTCACTACCCAGCCCTGACTGCGCTGGCCTCTAACTCAGAGCTTTGCCTGCCTCTGATTCCCAAGTGCTGGGATTAAAGCCCGACTTTAATCACAGTGTACTAGTGTTAACTGATGGAAGGCAGGATCAGTATCAGTATGGTAGGCGTGGCTCTACACCAACCACGCCCCCAGCCCCTCACTGGCGGATTCTAGGCGGGGCTCCACCGTGACCACGCCCACGGGCGGGTCCTCACGCTGCACTCCTGGCCAGGTGAAGCCTAGTGTTAATCAGCAGTGGAAGACATTGGGAAAGCCTGGCCCGGTCTTCCCTTCCCTAGTTATTTTCACCTGCACTGTGGGGTCACAGGTGCAGACGCTGTGCGGGGCTGTCATCCTAGCTAGGTCTGCGGAGTTACGAGTTCCAGACTAGGCTGGGACAATGAGAATCTTAAAAAACTCCAACAACCTGTTATGAAGAGAGGAAGCCAACTCACCACCTCTTTCACCAAAGTTCCACCAACGGGGCCGGCGCCACTGCTCTGATTGTAGGAAGTCATCTAGAAGATTCTGGAAGTCACAGTCTGGTGAGTCCTTCTGGGAGCAGGTTCAGATTTACACAGAAAAACTGACCCCCGTCTATTCCTGTAGTCTCCTCACCATCAGGACCCAGCTGTGGGGGGAGCCCCTTCCTTCATCCCCACGCTCTCTGCATTCCCTATCCCCGTCTTTACTGCAGGGGGCTACGGTTCCAGATCCCCAACCCCCCCAACTAAGCATGATGGCTCATCCCTTCAGATACCGAGAATAGAATACTGGAAGCAGTCAGGATGTGGTGAGTCGCCAAGGATTTTGAGGGACGAATAGGAGTTTGCCAGGCGTACTAAGCATGCACACACACACACACACACACACACACACACACACACACACACACACAGGTACACAGGTAAAACATTAAAAAAAATTAGGAAGACAAGAGAAACAATATTTGGTTCATTTCCCACATCACTCAATTTGGGCAAACTCCCTGCTTAAGTAAGTTTGGTTCGGGTCAAGGCCCCTCCGGCTCCTCCTTCCCCACTCCACCCGCACAAACTTCCTACAGGAAGCGAGCTGCTCCCCCACGCACTACCTCAAGGGATGGGGAGGCCCGGGGATCCCAGAGGAAGCCACGGAGGTCAGCCAAGTTCAGGCCAGGAGCAAGCCCCTCCTGCTGGGCTCGGGGCCATTTGACCCCTCCGACCCGCCCAGGTCCCGCCTCAAGCCACGCCCCACCGGCGCCCACTGATGGAAGCCAACAGAGCTCAGGTCACCAGTGCACGTGGGCTCGTGGAGGCTCCAGTCGTCCCTGCAGGCGCTGGCCAATCAGGAGGCCGCAAGCCCACGTGGGCCTCCGATCCGGGCTGCTCATTGCTCAGCCTGTGGCTCAGCTGTCAATCACGGAGTTCCAGGCCTCGGTTTTACCCTTGCTTTCCCGGTGCGGTTTGGGAGCTGGGGGAGGACTCCAGAGTGTTTGGTGAAAAGTCGGAATATTTGTGGCGTGGGAGAGGGACCAGTAGGTGGAGGTGACTGTAGCCAAGCCCTTTTGATCTGAGTTCGATCCCTGGGATCCACATGTTGGAAGGTGAACTTACCCGCAGCAGACACACACACACACACACACACACACACACACACACACACACACACACAGACCCTACACGCACCACATACACACCGAGTAATTCGCACCACACACACAAACATACACACCCCTTCACGCACCACACACACACCGAATAATTTTCTTTTTAATCTGGGTGAGCTGGAAAGATAATTAAGCAGTTGAGAGCACCAGCTGCTCTTTCAGTGGACCCAGGTTCGATTCCTGGCACCCATGTGGTGGCTCACAGTGGTCTATAACTCTTGTTCTAGGGGAATCCAAAGAGCTCTTCTAGCCTTACGGTGCACGCACATGCATCAGGCAAAACAGCTGTACACATAAAATAAAATGCAAAAAGATTACTTCAAAGCTTGGCGGTGGTGCTGCACACCTTTGATCCCAGCACTCGGAGGCAGAAGCAGGCGGATCTTTGTGAGTTAGAGGCCAGCCTGCCTGGTCTACAGAGCAAATTCCAGGACAGCCTCCAAAGCTACAGAGAAATCCTGTCTCAAACAAAACAAAAACAGAAACAACTCTCCCCAAAACCAGCTAAACAACCAACCAACCAAACAAACAAACACAAAACCCAATGAATAAAAACAAAAATTAAAAAATTTGGTTGCTCAGCATTGGAATTCTGGGGTGTACAGAGTAGGGAATTGTAGTTTGAGACGCCCCGCCCCACCAAAGTTCCCTTGAGAAAAGAGGCCTGGAGTATCCTATGATGTGACCCTCTCCTGCTGTGTGGTCAGGCTAGCCTGGGCTACATGAAACCCTGTCTCAACAGAGAAAGAAAGAAAAGTCTTTGGGCACAAAGCCACACCCTCACTCTTCCAAATTCAAGGGCAGGAACTGGGGCCAACCCCTGGGCTCAGCACAGTCTCAGGGGACCCTTGGCCCTGGTTGGAGGAGCATGGGGTGAGCTAAGGGTGGCCCTCTTTCCCCCACAACCAAGCCTGCTCCAGGGACAGGTGAGGGGTGTGAAATTAAATCAGTGCAATCTCACCACTGTGTACGCGCACTCAGGGAGGTGAATGTGAGTTTGGAGCCAGCCTGCGCTCCATAGTAAGAAGAGGTCTAAAACAGAAAGGGGCTGTAAGAACGCTCAGTGGGTGAAGGCAATTGCTGCCAATCATGATGGCTTGAGTTCCATCCCTGTGCCTCACAGAGTAGAAGGCAAGGATGCATTCTTATTCTCCTGTGGAGTCCTCTAACCCACCTCCCACCCCAGCCAGCATGCCCGAATAAATAATTGTAACTCAATTAGGCCTGGGTCACAGTAACTTTCCCTTCATTAAAAATTAATCAATATGCATTAATGTGCCTAGTACCCTCAGAAGCCAGAAGAGGGTGTTAGTACCCTCAGAAGCCAGAAGAGGGTGTTGTAACTATAGCTGCCAATGTGTGTGTGTGCTGGGACTCGAACTTGGGTCCTCTGCAAGAGTAGCTAGTGCTGGTAACTGATGAGCTAGCTCTCCAGCCTTGTATACATAAATATTTTTCTGTTTTCTCCTGGTCCTGATCTTGACCAAGGCTTTTGCATATGCTAGGCCAGTCCTCAAGCCATCATTGTGATTCGGCCATGACTATCACTGCTGCAGGCCAGAGCATAGGATCTCCATTCCCAGCCGGCTGCCCCTGGGTCCCCAAGCTGTGAGAGGAAGTGGGGTCTGTCGCGACATCTGGCGGTCATACTTATTATGACACCTTGACCACTTTACACGAAATGACGTCATCACAGTGGCGTCTTCTTTAAATATTCATTGTGTCAGCGCTGACCACCATCTATGTCTGAAAAAGTCACATCTCCTTTGTGCGGAGTTGGTGACCACACTTTTAATCCCAGCATTCAGAAGGCAGAGTCAGGAGGATCTCCGTGAGTGCAGGTACAGCCTGGGTTACAGAGTGAGATCCTGTCTCAGAACACCAATACTACTACTACTAATTATAAATATAAATGAATAGTTAAAAAAAAATCCCAGCACTCAGAAGGCAGAGACAGGTGGACCTATGAGTTGAGTTCAGCCCTGTCTACAAAGTGAGTCCTGGGACAACCAGGGCCACACAGAGAGAACCTGACTTGAAACTTGCACTGAGGATCAGGCTGGCTTCGAAGTCACAGAGATCTGTCCCCAGTGCTGGCACCAAAGGTGTGTATCACCACTGCTCGGCATTAATACTTTTTTAAAAGTCCCTTTTGTCTTTATTCAGTTCTAGAGAGGTAGGGTGTTGTATATGCTGTTCATTGCATTTCGTTATTTCTTTTACTTTGTTGTCTTAATTTTTAATACTGATTTTATCAGTTTTAATTGTGTTTATGTTTTGGTGGGCTGTGTGCATGAGGGTGCAGTTTCCAGCGATGTTCAGAAGAGGGCATTTGAGATCGTGCAGCTGGAGTCAAGTGGGCATGAGAGTGCTGACGTCATCTCACGGGTTCCTAAGTGCTGAGTCACTTGTCCAGGGCCATTCTTAACTTACTCTTGTTATTTTGCCTTTTATGTTATTTATTATATTTTTTTCCATTTCATTTATTGACTTACATAATTTCTAGTGCTATTGTGTCTTTTTACTATTTTATTGTATTTATTTTCTTAAAATTTTATTTATTTATTGCAGTTTTTGAGAGAAGTTCTCTTTGCAGCCCTGGCTGTCCTGGAACTCGCTCTGTAGACTGCTTCCGTGCTGGGATTAAAGGCGTGCCGCACCATGTCTCAGCCCATTTTATTTTATTTTAAAGTTTATTCGTGTAAGAATGCACGAGGACTTTGTGATCCTCCTTCCTCAGCTTCTGGGAATAACTGTAGCTGGTTCCGGGAAGACAGTAAAATTGTGGAGGGGCGGCAAGGTGGACGTGAAGGAAAACAGCCAGGCTGGTGCGCCCCCTTCAGGGCGGGCTTGTCATACACACCATCCCAGAGGCAGTGTCCCTTGGTTACGCTCGGCCCCTCCCTCCACCCCTGGCGCGGTGGCCCCTGTGTCCCCCTCCTTGCTTTCCCTCTCCCCCAGCCTCCAAGAGTTCTAGGCTCTGCTTCCTTCGCGCCTGCTCCAAGCAGAATATTCGTTGAAGACACGCAAGTACTTCGGGGCGTCTTGTGTAGGGTGACCCTGGTTGTTACCGCTTGCGTCAATCGGGGTGCGAAAGTCGCGGCTTTTCCTTCTGTAACCTTTGCGGGAGGGTGGAGGCGATCGCCATCTGCTGGCCGGAGCCAGACGCTGCAGGCTTCCAGAGACCGAAGGAAGGGCAGGAGGTGAGGGACGGGCTGCGGGGACTGGGGGTTGTGGGGCAGGGACTGGATGAAGGGGGCCTGGGGAGCTGGGGGGCGGGCCTGGGAGTGGGGGGATAAGTGAGTGGGCTGGGGGTGAGAGGCAGAGCCAGGTGGATCTCTATGAGTTCGAGGCCAGCCTGGTCTACAGAGAGAGTTGCAGGACAGACTCCAAAGCCATACAGAGAAACCCTGCCTCGAAAAGCCAAAAACCTCGAGGGAGTGTGTGTGTGTTGCCTGCGCATCTGTGCACAGCGTGCAGTACCCGCAGCGGCCGGAAGGGGGCGCCGGGTCCCTAGAACTGGAGTCACAGGCGGTTGTGATCCCTGTGTGGGTACTAGGAACTGATTTCGGGTGCTCTGCAGGGGCTGCCGGCGCTCTAATCGCTGAGCACCTCTTCACCTTATGAATTTATTTTGAGAACATGTGTGGGCAGGTCATGATGGACGTCAGAATGAAGACTGACGGGCGCAGGTTCCAATTCGGGAACTCGGGTTCTCAGGCTTGGCTGCCAGCATTCCCACGCGCCGAGCGAGCCGTCTTGAGGAGCAGAGTCTGAGCATTAATACACCACCTGCTTCTTTGTGACTGGAGCATCAGGGAATCCAGAAAAGACCCCTGGGCCGAATTCTGCTCGTAACCACGCCCTAGGGACGGTGCCAAAGTGAAACTTCGCCCATCAGGCAATTTTACTTCAGATGGGCTTTTGGCAGCGTCATCAGCCAATCGCACTCGAGCAAAGGCGGGCGCTGGCGGTTCGGGTAGTGGAGGATTGGACGGTCTCTGCTTCCTGTTCTGGAAAGATAACCGGAAGTTGACTGGAGCCGGAACAGGATGCTG